GGGTTGGTTACCAAAATGACCCAGGATCCTTTGTGAACGACCAAACTTATAATCTGCTAACTTTGAAGGTACTTTAACTCTTAGACGTCGGCTGATTTACAGACTAGACGCTGCCCTGTTTTGTTTTCTTAATTTCCTCATTTGTCATAAATACTTGCTTGCCTGTACTCTGTTGTACCTTTATATTGTATCAAATCTTCTTCATTTCTTTCTCGGAACTTTAGTGGGTTATACTTATTTTAAACGTATTTGTAGTATGAGACCTAGATCTATATCTGTTATGCTGAAAATGCTCTCGTTATACATTAAAAAGTTTTTTTTTTTGCTGAAAATGTTAAACTTTTAAAGCCCTTCTAATTAATTGTGTAAAATAATAAGCGCTTGACTAACAAATCTTGCAATCAGCCGGTAGCTATCTGTAAGCGTGGGTTTCAGTTAGGGCTTTCTTCAGATTGGTTAAACTTCTTGTCAAACCATTGTTACCCTGGGGCGTTGTGGGTACAGCCAATAGTCATCTCCGGTACGGCACTGGTCCTCTTTGTCCTTTGTGTCTGAAGCGCTTGAGATGACATAATTATTTTGTCTGGACTGCTTGCGTCATAATCCCTTAACACGTACCGATTGTTATAATCTCGTTACGTTTACGCATGGCCTCCCCCGCCACCCGCCATCTACTCCCCCAACCACCACCTCACCCCTCTCTCTTCCACCTTACACCCCTAACAAACACACAGACAAAAGATGCCTTTTATGTGGTTTAGGAATTCTTGTGAAGTTCGCTTTGTTTTATTGCTTTTTTTTAAGGTTTTGTTTTTGTTTCGTTTTTTGAGCCAAATTTAACATGTTTTTGTTTTCCTTTTTAATTGTACACCTTACTATCTTCATCTCTCAATCATGAGAGCTTAATGTTAGGTCTATAATACCTCTGGTTATCCAACCTAGTTACCTTGTCACTTAACTCATAGGCCCAGGACCAAATGGAGTGTTATAATTCTGAATTTGATTTGGACCGAATCAATTTTCAAATCACGACCTAGATGAACTTTCAACGAAAAAAAAAGAACTTTTTTTAAAACCATGTATAAAACCCACCGTTGGTTTATGAAAACTTTTAGATTTGTTTCGTCTTGTCTGGTCTTTTTTTTTTCAAATTAGAGTGGGTGTTTTATATCTTAACTGTAACACATTCTCAAGCAAATAATAGTACCTTTGCACTATCTCGCTAAATGGAGAAGACATAAGTAAAGTGGGCGATTTTACCTCTATTGCTCAATAAATAATGAGTTGTCTAATACTGGAGTTGCGAGCAACTACTGAGTAGAATCATTGTTAGATTCCTTTCAAGGCAAAAATCTAACCTGCCATGGCGGCCACCTAAATAATACGGCCACATTTAAACGACCACTTTCCATTCCTTCCCTTGCATTTTTTTTCGATACAATTTAACTGTGTAAAACGGTCACCTGTCCAACGAGGCCGCGGCCACTTTATTTTATCAATTTTATCAACCTACGATCAAATTTACCTGCCCTAGGCGGTCAGGTGTGTTTACTCTTTGTAAAAAAATTGAATTGGCCCCTCACGCGGTTGGACGGGCTGTCACAATTCATTCATCTGTCGTTATTGCTAGTCCCTCCAATGAATGTTCATCAAAGTTGACCAATGGGTAGGCTTAACTAAATTTTCAACTGTTGGGAAGGGAAGCGTGATCCGTCATAACCTATAAGCCCCACCCACAACTCATGATCATATCGTATGTGAGGTGACTAGTCACTGTTTTGTTTACCTAATTTGTAACAAAGAAACAATGGACGTTGACATGAACTTGCGACAGAAGCGTCGCTTGTTCTCCGAGTGGTGGCGACCCGTGTTCTTGTTTTACCATATGGCACTCAGTCTTCATCTTCTTACTTATATAATATTTCGAATATTTTACCCTTGCACAAAATTAGCAGCAAAAAGAAAGCTATCCAAAAAACAAACCAACAACAAAAAATGGAGAAAAAACCCAACCCTTCTTACACCACCCATCCCTTTTTTTCAAAAGAAAACAAAACCCCTTTTGAATTAGTCTTAAGGCAGTCCTAAACCTTAGATTTAGATCAGCTCAGGTTTGGACCTCAGAAGAGAATGATTTGCTTTCTTCATTTTGATCAGATCCTGCCTAAGACGGCCACCTGGGTTATACGGCCACTTTTCTCCTTGACATTGGGTGGCAGTTTTTACACAGGCTTGACTGTAGTTGATAACAATTCTTCATTCACAAGGTATTTCGTCTCTGTACTCCTCCATGGGTCATGACAGAGGACCAAAGACACTTTGACGACAGCATAAATGGAAACAGTAACTCACAACCGCTTGGGAGATTTAGAAGTCACTCTCAATGTGTTGTCGTTTATTATTGTTGATGGACTTTTCACAACATGTATGTTTTTAAGATCTAAATTGTAGTGAGAAACAGGGTTCAGGAAAATAGCATGTTGTTGTTGTTGTTACTGCTGTTATTGTTGCTTTTGTTGCTGTTGTTGTTATTGGGTTTGTGTTTGTGTTTGTGTTTGTGTGTGTGTGTGTGTGTGTGTGTGTGTGTGTGTGTGTGTGTGTGTGTGTGTGTGTGTGTGTGTGTGAGAGAGAGAGAGAGAGAGAGAGAGAGAGAGAGAGAGAGAGAGAGAGAGAGAGAGACAGAGAGAGAGAGAGACAGAGACAGAGAGAGAGAGCCTATCCTTGCAAATTGTTTGGAGCCCCGAAGAGCGTGCTCTTCGCCATGGTCAACGCCCCTCTCGGGCAGCGGGTGAGGTAGTCCAACATCGAAACGAGCTCAAAGGCAAGGTAGAAAAGTACAAGTAAACTCATCCGCATCTCTTCCACCCCACTGTAAAGACCAATCTTCACCGCATCTGTCCACTTTGGGCACAGAGGGACAACAATCCTAAATATCACAGTAACTATGGTAGAAATAGTTGTATAGTAACATAGTCTCAAAAATAGTGTGATTAGTACCTTACGTGGTAAATTTTAGTTCCCTGAAATGTGGCTCATCGATGTTAAGACCACTGAGGATTTGATTCCAAGTTCCCAATCCACATTGATTCTCTTTGATTAAGTTTGCCGACTGGTGTGCATGAGTTTTTCTGTACTGAGTACCTATGGTTATTGAACCTAGCCTTTAGTGCGGTGGTAGTTTGACCTACGTATTATTAGGCTGGACAGACTTTACAAGAGATGAGGTAAATCACGTCTTTGGTTTCATAGGTGATGCTGTGATAAAGCTTTCTTTTAAAGTGGGGGCCTCTTATAAAGTTGGTTACTTTCATGTTAGCACATGTTTTGCATGTAGGGTTTTGACAAGGATAATTTTGAGGTGAGGTACATGGGCTTGTCGGAGGTGAGGATGTGGGTATTACTGCTCTAGTGCGAAAGAGGAGGTTGCCAAAATTAGGTGACTGTCGTCGTGCGACCACAGGAGGATTGGGGAAACAGGCTTTCATTTTGTCAGATTTTTTCAAAATGTTTTTATGTTGGCCGTGGATTTTATGTACATTGGGTAGTTTTTGGTGATGAGTTGTGACGCAAAAAAGTCTTTTCTGTTTGTGCTTAAGGGGTTTGTACGTCAGAAGGTTGGTGCGGTTCAATTTTCTGACTTTCTCGATTATGGGAGTAATGACATTTTTGAGGTATCCGCTGTGAAGAAAGTTGGCTGTGGATTCCTCTATCCGTTGCTTAAAAGAATTTTCACGGGAGCAAATGCGTCGGAGTCTAAAGGCACCACTATAGCCCACAGAACGCAATGTATATTTGGGATGGTTTGAAGAAGGTGGGAGATAACGACTGGAGTCGGTAGTTGTTTTTTTTGTCCGGGTCTGTTTCAGTTTGGTTATTTATAATGAGGAGGGACAAGTCCAGGAAATAAGTGGATTTTCCTGTTGTGGAAATAAGTAAATTTGATGTTGTGGGGTGCCTTGTTGAGATCATCATCATCATCATCATCATCATCATCATCATCATCATCATCATCATCATAATCATCAAAGCGCCTCGCTCTCGCTCGAAGATTTCTTCGTGAAGTCCGTCAGGCCCATTAAGGAAACAACAACAAAAATAATAATGACTGTTATTAACTATTACATATATTATTTTTCTTTCTTACCTTTCTTATAACTTTTGGTGTAATGTAACTACAAATACCAAAGTGACTTCACAAAACAAACAAACTAGGAGCAGCAACAAAAATAACAGCAACAGCAACAAGCAATAACAGAAATAGCAATAGTGACAACAGCAGCAACAATAACTGTGACAACAACAGCAACAACAACAGTAACAAAAAGCAAACAAAACCAACAACGTGAAAATAGCAACAAAGAAGCTCCAACACACAATCAGTAGTAGAAGCACGAAAACAAATCTTATGTTCTTGATAATGTGTGACATAAATATAACAACAACAAGTTTTTTGTTTTTTTTAATTTACAAATTTTTATTAAAAACATTGAAAATATGAAAAGAGAAAAAAAAACAAGACATAAATATACATCGTAATGTTGAACTGGACACATTGACAATTAATAGGTGTTGACTTTCAAGGACAGAATTATAGACTTCAGATAGTTTTCCCCGTTGAAAACGGGACATTATAGGTTAAATGTGTAGTAACAAATTTGAGGCATACAGACAACAAATCAAAACATAAGCTAAAAATGTTGTAAATTCCAAGGGTGTCCAATAAATCCATGGGCTTACAGCAACAGGACAATAAAACAAAGTTCGATAAAATTAAATGATATTAAGTTACTGTAGTTAAAGCATTTGATCAGCGAACATACAAAATATGTTGTTAACATGAATTCAATACTAAGTCAGAAGTGTCTAAATGTAATTTGAGGAAGTTTTAACAAGGGAAATCAAATATTTTTACAAGTTTTTCATGTTTGGTTTTGTTGTTGTTGATCTTGTATTACTTGTTAAAAATGTATCTTTTATTTTGTTGTTGTTTTTTTGCTTGCGTTTTTATTTTATTTTATTTTATTTTATTTTTTATTTATTTATTTATTTTTTTATTTTTTTTTGGGGGGGGTGGGGATTATACAATTGATGCAAGGTCTGATTACATCCAAATCAGTATTGGATTCTAAAGCATCAGTTTCGAATTCACATCCTTAACTACTACCTCAGGGCGTGATGATCAATAATGAACAATTATGAAAAGGATTTTTTTTTAAAGTGACACTAGCAAAAGTTATTGTTTTCAAGTTGAGCTGGTCAAACAAATCGCTTTATGGAAGTATCAAAATAAATAGTCTCTTAAACATTTTTTCCCTGTGAATCGGGAGAATTATTCTCTCAAAGACATTTCAAACTAGAATTTTTACAGCATGCTCTTTCTGGTTTATCATGTTTTCCTTCTTTATAATATACAATATTGCTGATGACCATCACAGCTACAGCAACACTAAACCTTTTCAAATATCAGTCGCAATCACGTTCTTCAACTATCTGATAATGTTGAACACTTATGTAAGTTTAAAATACTGAGACAACACAGATTAGATCTATGTTTGGTGGGGTTTTGGGGTTTTTTGGGGTTTTTTTGCTTGTTTTGTTTTATTATATTTTATTTTTATGGGGGTTCCGGAGGGAGGGGGGGATCTTATACAATTATTGCAAGTTGTGATTACATTCAAAGCAGTATTTCTTTCTAAGATATAAGTTTCCGATGCTGTATTACTAGCTCAGGGCATTATGATCAATATCGTACAAATGTTTTTAAACATTGACACAAGCAAAAGTTATTGTCTTCAACATATCGGCACTTATATGACCTTATTGTGTTGCAAGTGCCGTAAAACTCTTACTAAAACTTTTGGGGGGGTTTTTTGCTTGTTTTGTTTTATTATATTTTATTTTTATGGGGGTTCCGGAGGGGGGGGGATCTTATACAATTATTGCAAGTTGTGATTACATTCAAAGCAGTATTTCTTTCTAAGATATAAGTTTGCGATGCTGTATTACTAGCTCAGGGCATTATGATCAATATCGTACAAATGTTTTTAAACATTGACACAAGCAAAAGTTATTGTCTTCAACATAAGCTGCTCAGACATTATCTCTTTTTGGAAGTATCAAAATGTACCATAATGATCACACTTTTTTCCGGTGAATATTAATATATCTAAAGCATTCTTTAGCGACTGTTCAAATTTAAAAGGATTGTATCTTGGTGTTTTGGATTTGTACTGTTTTCTTTTTGTACAATATTGGTTATGACAATTTAAGCTCTTTAACACTAATCAGTCTAAAATAGCAGTCGTAATTATGACATACCACTCGCTGATAATGTTCATCAGTGATCAATAATGTACAATTATGAAAATCATTTTTTAAATTTTAAAATAATGACACTAGCAAAAGTTATTGTTTTCAAGATGAGCTGGTCAAACAAATTGCTTTATGGAAGTATCAAAATATAGTATCTTCAACACATTTTATGCTGTGAATATGAACGTATCAGGAGAATTTTCTCTAACAGACATCTCAAACTAGACGGTTTGCAGCATGCTCTTTCTCGTTTATGTTTTCTTTCTTTATAATACTATACCACATTGCTTATAAATGACCATTGCAGCTTCAGCAACACTAAAACTTCTCAAATATCAGTCGCAATTATGTTTCACAACTATCTGATAATGTTGAACACTTATGGACAATACCAAGACAACTAATAGTATGTTTTGTTTGTTTGTTTGTTTGGGGGGGGGGAGGAGGGCTTGTACAATTATTGCAAGTTGTAATTACTTTTAAAGCAGTATTCATTTCTGAGATATCAATTGCCGATGCTGTATTACTAACTCAGGGCTTGATGACCAAAAGCGTAAATTGATGATCAAAAGCGAACATTGACACTAGCAAAAGTTAATGTCTTCAACATAAACTGGTTAGACATTATCTCTTTATGGAAGTATCAAAATGTACCATCATGAAAACATATCCCCCCCCCCCCCCCCCTGTAAATATTAACATGTCTAGAGCATATTCTTTAGAGACTTTTCAAATTAAAAAGGATTGTATCCAGGTATTTTGGGATTTATTACGTTTTTCTTTTGTGCAATATTGCTTAGACCATTAAAGCTCTGCAACACTAAACAGTCTAAAATATCAGCAGTACGAGCAATTACGACATACTACTCGCTGATAATGTTAATCAATTATGTACAATTCTAAGACAACTTGCCACCATGGAGCTGTTCTTAACATGTTGTTCACCCGGTCAGAAAAAAACCCAAAGAAATGACTTCTTGCGCTATCAACATTTTTGTTAGAACAAAATGCTTTAAATTCGTATTTTTTCGGACATTTTAATCTGTACAATAAGAGTTTTTGGGGAAGGGGGTTGGGAAGAGTTTATACAATTAAGTTGTTATTACTTTCTAAACACTATTTTCTTTTTATAAAATATACGTTTGAAATGCATATTCTGGATTTCTTAATTTTATCCAGAGTATGATAATCAAATTTTTTTAAAAAGAAATACAAAGGGCTCAAGACCACTAATGCATGATAATACTAGAGTGAAATGATACACAATAATAAGCAGATGTCTGACAAAACCTGCTGTAGGAAAATTGTCTCTGTCTCCACACCGATTACTGCCGGTACTGTTGAAAGGAAGAAGGCTGAAAGTACTCAGGGAATGACAAAGATACCACGTACATTAACTGGTTTTCCATGAGATTGTTGAAAAAAATGTAGTTTTAAACTGAATACCTTAAACATGCCTTTAAAAATATTTTTTTCATTTTAAGCAGTAAATAGTTTGGAAGTGAAACCGGTCTCTATAAACATTTGTCTTTTTTTTAATGACGAAAAATCTAACAGTTTTGCAGATACAAATGAGTTATTTCAAAGGCAGGCCCTGCAGTTTACCAGTGCTCAAATGCTCCCTTATGACGTAACAGTTGCGCTCTTGTGGGTGGGACAATAAACTATTTATAATCTGTCTGTCTGTTCTCTCGAGCTGAAGGTCAAGTTCCCAGGTTCAGGTCATCGTTCAGTTGTCAGAAGCTTTGTCCCAGCCTGACCCTTGTTTATGATTGTTGGAGGGTCATCAGAACGCGTTGGAAAACTTGGTCAGTGGGGAAAAGAGTCTCACTGTTGAAACAATAGACATACAACAAAATCAGTAACGCAGAAGGAGATAAACACCGTTCAATGATAATATTGATAACATGATACCGATAATATTATGATGATAAAGAGAGCAACAACAAGAAATAATAATAATAATAATAATAATAATAATAATAATAATAATAATAATAATAATAATAATAATAATAATAATAATAATAATAATAATAATAATAATAATAATAATAATATAATGATAATAATAAGAAGAAGAAGAAGAATTATAGAGAGCATTCCAACAAACTCATAAGTCATATGATCATAAGACGTCAAGTTATATAACTCGTGTTTGTGTGCAAAAAAAATCTAACTTCAAAACAATTGTATCTAACATCAAGCTTAGCTGACAGGAGAGCTCACCTTGTCTTCCTGAGTGTGACCACACTGTCGTTGTTAGAGAGCTGGTCGGTTGTCTCAATCTTGCACTCGGTGCACAAGTATTTGAGCTGTTAGAAACACACAAAAAAGATTGCTGAATGTTCTTTCTGTACTGTCTAGGTAATAAATCCTGTTTAATAATCTGAAAACAACAACGAATTAAAGAATAGGATTAGTAATAGATAGATAGATAGATAGATAGATAGATAGATAGATAGATAGATAGATAGATAGAGATCATCATCATAAAAAACCAACGAAAAGAGCTGTACAGCAGGCAGAGATGACGATAAGCAAGAAATAGACACCACCTTAAAATCACAATTAATTCCTACAGCAACAACAAGCTCACATATATTATTATTGTTTCATGGACGACATTCTGTGCTTGGTGGCAAGCACACGGAACAGTACTGTAATATCAGAGGGGGCCTTGGTTTGAATCCATGACAAAGGCACGCTCATAAAAAGACCCGCATAAAGAGTCCGTCATCAATTCTAATTCTAAGTCTTATATGCACGACGGTTAGAAGTTCCAGCCTTAATTAGACAGAAAGTTTAATAATTAATAGGCAGCACTGAAAAGATAAGACCCAAACCTTGGCTATTTTATCTAAGAAAGTCTAGGCCCTAACCCATCATGTGACATAATTACTTACAACAACTCGCTCTTCCAGGGAAAATCTGTCGGTGTAAAATTCCTCCCGAAAGTTGGCCACGAAGGCGCTGACCAGAGAAAACACTGGAGCAGTCACAGCTTGGACCTGAAAGTGGGAAGTATACATCAGGTTGTGGCTGTATAAGTAAATCATATAATCTAGGGATAAAGAGAAACTTGGCAATACCATTGACATAATGTAGAGTCTGTTTCTAAACTTTGTTACAGCCACTCTTTATTGAAGCAGTACAACCCTCACTAATTACTGCAAGACTCCCCCCCCCCCTTTTCACATAAACAATCCCGCCACACCTTACGGAGATCAGCTCACAATAAGATAGTCTCTGTCCCCCCAAAAATTGTGTACAATAAAGTGAAATTTGATTAGCTTTAATTGCTGATAGACAGACAGACAGACAGACAGACAGACAGACAGACAGACAGACAGACAGACAGACAGACAGACAGACAGACAGACAGACAGACAGACAGACAGACAGACAGACAGACAGACAGAGACAGAGAGAAAGTACAGAAATCCAACTCACCTTCACCCAGTCCACAGCTCCGGTCTCCACCGTCCCACAATGCAGCGAGTTGTCTCTCTTTTCTCTCAGCGCCTGTTCACGAAGGCGCCACCACAGCTGAGTTTCCATCGCCATCTTGGACACGTGATCATAACCACCACTGACGTCACCAGCATTCATCGTCTGACTACTTGAGAAGGGGCGTAATCCGAAACCGCTGACACTGGACTCCACACCATTGGGTGACGGTTCAGTTTCCATTCTCCGTCTTTTACATGACGGCTGGCAGTCTGCTGGTTCTGGAGCCATGTTTTCTGCCAGCTGGTGACCAATGTCGCTGAATGAAGGGACGGGGACGGAGTGAGCTGACCAGCCAGCAGGATTGATCCATGGTACGGGTGGCGTCAGTTGAACTATGAAGTGATTTTGCTTCAGCGGTGAGGGTGTCATGTTTTGTGACATGGTGAAACTTTTGGACAGTGCTTGTACGATTCCTGACCCATGATGAAAGAAAGAAAGAAAAAAAAAATGTGATTATTATTTAACTGATTTATGGTATGGAGTAGAACTGGCTTACCATTTGTTATAACTTGTACATTGTGTGATGTATGGTATGGAGTAGAACAGGCTTGCCCTTTGTTACAACTTGTATATTGTGCATAAAAGCGTCCAATAAGGGTGTCTTCATGTCTATTCATGTTTTCGAGAAACTTCCTTAATTTTTCTTTTCCAAATTGTTTTTATATGCGAGCAGCCTTTGCGGGCTTTCTTAAGTACAACAACATTGGATTTAGTTTTCTTCCACTAAATTCTTAGCAGTTTCCCAAGAAACCACATGTCTATTGCTTCTTTTATATTTTCACTGTTTTTCGGTGATTATACAGCATTTACAGTCATAATATAGAAGGGTTGATATGATACGTATGTTGGTGGTCATTGACATGTTTCTATTGTTCAAGATTCGGTTCCTTTTTTTAAAACGGTCTTCCGCCTTTGCAATAATACTAGCAACAAGATTTTCTTGGCAAAATGACTTTGCGTAAAATGAACTAGCCAAAACGGCCGCTATATCAAAACTCTATCAACCGACAGGAAAAAAAACCCTCAAATTAAAACGAAGATGGCAACCTAGATCTCTCATCTCACGAGGCGTTCTCATTAATCCTATTGTATCGGCCCCATGGGCTGTGGACGAGCCGTACTACCTCATTCACATTTCGTTAATGTTTGTCTCTCCAATGAATGAAACGATTATGGTGCGTAGTCCCTCCCACTGTTTACCCAAGTTCACCAGTCGAGAGCAAAATTTCAACTCCTGGTTAGGGAGGCGTGTATACTGTCATAATCTCCGCCCTCAACCTCTCTAACAAAGGTACGAACCTCTGCCATACACAAACACAAACCACAAGTGAGGTGAGTGACGTTTCCACAACAACAAGCGGACTGGTCATCCCTCCAGGCGTTCCGACCCTTCACCCCTCAGCGAGCGCTGTCAAATGACGGGTTGAAGTTCAAATCTCGAATCTTTGGTTTAATAATACTATATGTAAGGAAGTGAACTCCGCCCTTATTGCTCGTTGGCGTGGGTTTGACGGCCATCTTTGTCCGCTGACACATCGGTGACATGATCTTGATACATTTGTTTTTCTTTTATATTGTTCGTACGCCTTGTACTATAGACTCATTGTTTTCTCCACTTCACTCCGTATTCCTCACCTGTCACATTCCGTTCTATTTTACCCTTGCACTAGTTTTGTCTTTCTTGTCTGATACACTAGGTAAAATTTAACACTTAACTACAGTCGCAAAACCCTCCTTTCCGCTCCAACCCCACCCCCTCCCAAAAAAGGACCGTACGACAGTCTTCAGCTTGTGATTTCAGAACGTAATTGTTTCCTTGAGATTTAAGATTGGCAGATTTTCTTTTCGAGCACAATTTTTATTTACCAACGTCATATATTGATGTGAAAGGGCACTTTCCTTAGTTACTCGTGGCTTTTCTTTTCTTTTTTTTAAATAATTTTTTTTGCTTGTCCAGAAGTAGAAAGTTAACATATTTACCTATAGATTTCTGGAATATTTTATTGTTTTTATTCTTCTTTCGTTGGTTCAAACAAGACACAATTCATTTTGAACACATGATCATTGCATATTCCCAAATCCCAAAAATTGCACACAAGCAGGGAACCACACAGAAAGAAAAAAAATTCACTCCCTCTTATACCTTTAAAATACAAAGTATGACGACATGATATGAGTCACATTATGTAAGTCATCAGACTCTTTTTACTCAATAAATAATTTGTGAGGCAGCGTGCTGGAATCAGGCTCTCGTCAAAACAATCAAAGTGAAGAAACTTGCATTTTTCCGTAGGTTTGTGAATTTTTATCAAATTTTTATATTTTGGCTCAATACCTTTCATGCCCATTAAAGAACTCATTTCTGTACGGATTTTTCTTTAAAACGTTGAATAAACTTTTTTTTTAAATGTAAATTTTCATTTCCCGCGGACTCTTAAGCTAAGGAAATAACCAATCTTTGGCGGCCATTTTCTCACTAATTTTACCTCTGAAAACAGGCGACCCCACCTCCTTCATTCGCAAATGTCAAGATGTGTACTCAATATAAAGGGATGGTTTTTTTTTCATCGAAATAAAGACAAGTGAACAAGCTCTAAGATGACACCAATAACTCTACATGCCCCAAAATTGACAAGAGCCTGATTCCACCACTCTGCCTCACATTTTGAACAAAGGCAAAGATACAACTTATTAATTCTAGATCCTGAACAATTTACTTCTTTGCTATATAATTAAGACAAATTGAAACAAATTTTTTGGAAAACGCTTAACAGAAATCTATGCAGGGAGTCAAAAGTTAACTGTAAAGAACATAATGATTTGAAGCGCTATATATTAGCTTTTCTTTATTATACAAAGGGGAACAGGATGATAAAGCAGTTGCTACATGGCAATGTATTATGGTGGGAAAACATCATGGAGCGTTACAGTCGCTAACCAAAAAGTGGACCGTTGAGGCGACATTTACTGAAACCTTCAGCTTTACATAACAGCAGTTTAGACTCACCTGGCGTGCCCATTTCACAACTAAGAAACGTTACCACAAGCCTTCTAGACCTCCTACCCTCTCCCAAAACAAACACCCTGAACTACACATTTCTTTGTATAGAAGGGTTTTTTTAAAGATAAGTGACGGGTGCTCTGGTGTGGTTTGTTCCTTCTTTTCTCTCGAACATGATATATTTCTTAATCAGATACATTTATTGTACACGTATAAATAATATTATCTATCCTCATTCTTTGTGTTGTCCTTGCTACTCTTTTGACATACCTCTAATCTTCGGTTTGTATAATAATACAACCTTATTGTGTTGCACGTGTCGTTAAACCCTTACTAAATCCAAATGAAGAAAATGAGAAGATATATATATATATATATATATATATATATATATATATATATATATATATAGATATATATATATATATGTAGAGAGAGAGAGAGAGAGAGAGAGAGAGAGAGAGAGAGAGAGAGAGAGAGAGAGAGAGAGAGAGAGAGAGAGAGAGCGTGCTCTTCACTATGGTCACCGCCTCTCTTGGGTAGCGTACGAGGCAGTCCAACCTCCCTGAAACCTTCCCGAAAGAAATGACACCGCCGGATCTGCGTAGCGGGGGCATCTCTGCGGCCAGTGCTCCAAATCTTGGGGCTTCTCGCTGCACAATGGACAGACTGGATCCGACGTTTCGTTTATTCTATTTTTGTGGGCCCGCATCCCAGAGAAGTGAACAGTCCTGATTTTAGCCAGTAGTGACTGCTTGCTACGGGGCCTTAATTTGCGCCTCCGGTTTTAAGGACATCGCCCTGAAAATTTCCTTCGTCCGCGAGTAGGATATCGGAATCTGTTTTATCTGTTTTTGCTGTTGTTGTTGTTGTTGTTATTGTTGTTGTTGTTGTTGTTGTTGTTGTTGTTGTTGTTGTTGTTTTTGTTTTTGTTGTTGTTGTTGTTGTTTCTCATGACTTTTTGTGTACTTATTGACTGCTCTTAGATCCGGTTTCTTTACAACATTCATCATCATCTTCAAGTACTAGATCTGTGACAGATATCGGTAATCATGGTTCTTCATTCATTATTCTGCTTGGATGCTCTAAAAAAGATACATTATACTAACCTTACTCCTTTGCCAATCTTTGTAGGGTCTCCATGCAAGTTGTTATGCCTTGTTTGCCTTCAGTTTTGCCAGTGAAAGCTCAATGTTCAAGACCTTCATGTTTATTTAAGTGTCCCCAAAATGGTTTTAATTTTGTGTTTTCCGGAGGTTGTTTTTTTATCAACGAGCGGCCCACACGGGCTTCTAGAAAGGCTTGTGGTAGTTATCACCAGTTAAAACCGTTCCAACAATCACTTATCCAAGACGACCACCCCTTCCTACTTTCACTCTTGCGTTGTTCTATTATAATGACACTCTTTGTTTAGTTTAAATAAGGTTTTGCGGCTTTCGCAACTGCATAAGTTCATATGAAGGCCAAGGGGTGGATGACAACAGAGAATATAAGGGGTGCTCTCGTGGCCTAGGGCCTCTCATTCAAAGGTCCCGGGTTCAAATCCGGGTAGTGACTGACCAATTTTCTTCTCTATAATTGTCTCCTTTCACCCTCTCTCTTGCTCTCTAGCAATGATATGTGGTCTGCTTTCGTCTCCACTTTCTGCCCCCACCTCCTTTACCCCCTCCCCTGGGCTCATGACTCTTTCTGCAGCATTTCTACTGCTACTCCTTGGCTCCTTCTTACTGCTGTCTTTCTGCCACACCCCTGGTCAGTATGGGACATGTCAGAAAAACACACAGTGACTGCAAATACCAAAGTAAGAGAACGAACAAACCAGGAGCAGCAACAAAAACAACAGCAACAAACAATAACAGAAACAGCAATACTGACAACAACAGCAACAATAACAGCGACAACAGCAACAACAACAACAATAATAACAACAGTAACAAACATAAACAACAACATGAAAATAGCTACATAGAAGCACCAACACACAATCAGAAGTAGAACCACGAAAACAAATATTATGTGCTTGATAGTGTGTGACATAAATATAACAATAACAAGTGTTGTTTTTGTTTTAATTTACAAATTTTATTAAAAACATTGAAGATATTAAAAGAGAAAGAAAACAAAACATAAATATACGTCGTAATGTTGAACTGGACACATTGACAATTAATAGGTGTTGACTTTCAAGGACAGAATTATTGACGTCAGATAGTTCACCTCAGCTGCTAGTTTGAAAACTGGACATTATAGGTTAAATGTGTAGTAAAAAATTCGAGGCATACAGACAGCAAATCACATCATAAGCTAAGAATTTTGTAAATTCCAAGGGTGTCCAATAAATCCATGGGCTTACAGCAACAAGACAATAAAACTAAGTTTGATGAAATCAAAAGATACTAAGTTACTGTAGTTAAAGCATTTGATCAGCGAACATACAAAATATATTGTTAACATGAATTCAATATTAAGTCAGAAGTGTCTAAATGTAATTTGAGGAAGTTTTAAAAAGGGAAATCAAATAATTTTTACAAGTTTTTCATGTGTGGTTTTGTTGTTGTTGATGTTATATTACTTGTTAAAAATGTATCTTTTTTTTAATTCTTTTTTTTTCTTTTGCTTGCGTTTTTTATTTATTTATTTATTTATTTATTTATTTTTTTAGTTGGTTTTTTTTTTTTTTGGGGGGGGGGGGATTATACAATTGATGTAAGGTCTGATTATATCCAAATCAGTATTGGATTCTAAAGTATCAGTTTCGAATTCACATCCTTAACTACTACCTCAGGGCGTGATGATCAATAATGAACAATTATGAAAATGATTTTTTTTTTAAGTGACACTAGCAAAAGTTATTGTTTTCAAGTTGAGCTGGTCAAACAAATCGCTTTATGGAAGTATCAAAATAAATAGTATCTCAAACATTTTTTTCCTGTGAATCGGGATGATCAATGGTGTACAAGTGTTTTATAACATTGACACTAGCAAAAAGTTAATGTCTACAACATAAACTGGTCAGACATTATCTCTTTATGGAAGTATCAAAATGTAACATCATGATCACAAATTTTTCCCCTGTGAATATTAACATATCTAGAGCATATTATTATTCGCCAAAGACATCTCAAACTAGAAGGTTTACAGCATGCTCTTTCTGAATTATCATGTTTTCCTTCTTTATAATATACAATATAGCGTATGACCATTACAGCTACAGTAACTCTAAACCTTCTCAAATACCAGTCGCAATTACGTTCTACAACTATCTGATAATGTTGAACACTTTTGTAAGTTTACAATACTGAGACAACAAAGATTAGATCAATTATTGTTTTATTTTTTTTATTGGGGGTGCAAAGGGGGGG